AGCTAAAGCTTGGAAACAGCCCAAATGCCCATCAACTGGAGACTGGATAAAGAAAATGTGGTGTTTTTATAAAATGGAGTACTACTCAGCCATAAAGAACGAGAAACTACAGACATTTGTAGCTAAATGGATGCATATTGAGGTGATACTCTTAAGTGAAATAAATAGGACACACATGTATAAATACCGAATAGTTTCTCTGGTGTGAGCAACTGAAAGTGTAAATAAGGATTAAAATGATTAAAATGAATAATTGATAATTTGTAATATTAAAAGGTCCAAAGGTGTAGGGGTGGTGGGAGGGAAAGGGGAAAGGAAAGAAGGGAAAGGAAAAATGATGAGAAAGAAAAAAATGGAAACGAAGTCTATGTAAATAGGGAAGGGTTTAGGGGTGAATGGCACACAGGTAATGGAGAAAAAATAAGAACCAAGATACAGCATGTACAGGTATAAGCACCCAATGATAAATGTAAATGTATTGTATAACTAAAATGTACCAATAAAAGAATTTTTAAGAATAAATAAATAGGAAAAATAAAGTCATTTCTATTATTTTTGGAAGCACTGTGATCATCTGGCAAGACAATTCCCTTCCCAGTTGCCACAATATAGGGGAGATTTCATACTGGTAATATGTGGCAGCAGCAGGCTACTGTGAGAGTTCAGTCTGGTCATTAATAATTGTAGCAGCCAAAAATTATGCGTGAGTGATAAAGCATAGCTTCTCCATTTTACAGATGGAAAAGTCCGGCAAATTCCCAAGGTCAAAATGAGTGGGAAAGCCATATTTCAAAGGGAGACGTGTGGCATCGCAGCTCTGCTCCCAGTCTAAGCAAGTCACTTCATCTTTGTAAACTTGTTGGGCCTGCCCACCTAGTTCATCCTCAGCCTGTGTTAGAAAGTCGTTTCATAAACCATACCCTATGGTCTTATTCAAGACCACAAGGCCAGAAATCTATTGCTGATAGGGATGGAGTTTGAGTCATTTCTAAACACCCAGGACAGGCAGTGAGGGAACTTTTCTTGACTATGTACATTGGGAAATTTCTTAAGAGAATGAGCAGCGTCTCCAGAGCTTTTGGAAATTGATTTGCTTGTGTCACTGCTTCATGAAGGCCCTAAAGTCTGCCTACCCTGCGTGGCTCGTCCCGGACAGACTTTCCAGGGTTCCCCAGCATGGCCCCCGTCGTTCCCTGTGCTGGACCCACCTTCTCTCTCTGCTGGGAGTGCTCCACCTGGTTCCTCAAGGGTGCTTCTCAAGGGTTCCTTCCCCGTGAAGTCCCCTCTCTCTGCATCCCAGGGAAAGCGAGTCTGCTGTGTTCCCAGGAGCCGGTCACCCTGGGCTGTCACACCAGGCAGGGCATTGGTATCATTCGCCTCATGTCTCCCAGGCCCAGGACCACGGTTTACTGACCTTTGTGTCTGTCAGGAACCCGCGCATTCTACAGTACACCGCAAATCTCACACAGCAAGTGTTAAAGGGGTGAACATTTGAATGGTGTAGTTTGTTTTTCTTTTTTTAATTAGAGTTGGATTGTGCAAAGCCATCTCACTGGTTTTTGGTGGACCAGCCTAGGCATTTCTGGTCCTTCCTAGTGATAGAGACATGAACTTGAACAAATGGCCTGCCGTCATACACACGCGGACACTCTGCTCTCGTCGCTAGTGTGACAGGAGTCATACTTAAGAATGTGATCTGGCATCGGAGAAAGAAAACAATCAAGCACCAGTAAGGACCAAGTGGCAACCGCATTGCTGTGAGAGAGGCCCAGAGTGAGGCCCTTGGCTTCCTGTCGTCCTACCTGAGTGTGCAGCCAAGGTGAACTCGCCGCACTGGACAGTTAGTACGGTCCACTCCCCATCTCTCAGTTGTCTGCCCTTCTGCACGGTACTGCCTTCCCCTCCAGACCTTCTGCAGGGATTCTGCTCTTCACAGAAGTCTTGTGCTAACAGTATTTGGGGAGTTGAGGGAGAGAGCAGAGTGAGGGAAGTCCTTTTCTTCCTTTTCCTTTGCTAAGACGGGGACCTTTATCAAGAAAGATGGCGTCCTTTAGCTCCATGTGGTGACCCGTGGTGGAATGAGTGGACGGTCTGGCCACCATCCCTGCAGCATTACCCGGCACCGCACTGTCTCTGCTGTAACCACACAGGTCTTCTTCATGTGCTTTTCCTTATACTTTGCATACTCTGTTCCCTTTCCGGAAAGTCCTTCCATTCCCCTCTGATCAAGTGAATTTCTTCTCCTCCGGTGGCTTTCCCTGAGCTCCCCGACTGGTCACTCTCCTTTGATAGCCCCTTGTCAAGGGCAAGCATCATAGTTACAGTGTTCCATTTATTTATAAAATCATCTCATCAATGTCTGACTCCCCTGTAGGTGCAGCTCGACGGGAGCAAAGACATTGTTCCTTTTGGCAGCGTCGTGTCCCCTGTTCCTAGCAACAGGCCTGATGTGAGTGAGTCGCAATAAATGTTTGCAGAGTAAAATCAGGGCGAGAGCCGCAGGCTTCCGTGAGGGCAGGGTCAGAAGCATCTCTGAGGAGAAATACCTTCTCTAGATGGGCAGAGGCAGAAGAGCCCTGTAGTAGAAAGCGGGGAACCTTGGGTTGTACACCCACTCCCTAGCCACCTCCTCTGTGCCCGGCATGGACTCAGGCTGAGGACTCACAGTGAACTGGACTTGAGCCCTGGCCACGTGGCATGCATCTTCAGAGCAACTTCTCATCATCTAGAAGCTGACCATGCTGTTGCTGCGACAGTCATGTAAGCATGACGCTGTGTAGTAGAGTGAGGTCATATATAGTGTCATGTGCATTACATGTAGTGCACTATAGGTGCCGTACATTCATCAGTTCTCTTGGTTTTCAGACAACCTCTGAGGTAGGCATTTTATCATCTCTAGTTTATAGCTAAAGAAATGGGGGCCTCAGAAAAATGTAAGTTTCTTTTTCCAGATTACTCACGTGGAACTGAACCAGAGAGCCTGATCTAGGTGACACTGAAGTTGTGTTTTGGGATATCGGAGATCTGTCTCAGTCACTTTCCCATCACCGGGACAAAGTACCCAACACCCACAGCCTAAAGGAACAGAGGTTTATTTTTCCTCAGAAGTTTCAGCTCATGGTCAGCCAGCACCGAGGCAAGTGGCAGGACCAGGGTAGAAGAAAGCTGCCTGCGTCGTAATGGGTGAATCTGCAAATGAGGACAGCGCTCCATGACCCGGCCCCCTCCTGGAGCCCCACTACTGAGCATATGCGAGTGTGGGGCAAACCACTACAAGACAGCAATGAACGTCGGGCAGAAATGAATGTGCGTCTAACCTCAGAGTCCAGTGTCCTGTCCTCTGGTCAGAGCTTCCTGTCTTTCCAGGCCTCCTCTGTCTCATCCTCTGTCCCAGTTGGCATCACGGGGATCCTCAGAGCCGCGGTTTCTTCCCACCTGCTGCCTACTGGCCTCTTCCATGTTAGCTCTCACCCAGGTTGATCCCGCATGGTCCTCTACTCTCACTGTGCCAGTCAGGGACATCTCAGTGCCATGGCAATGCTCTCTCCTCCTGCACACCGGATGGAGATGGGGAGGACAGCAGAGGCGGTATGCCCTGAGAACCACGCCTGGTGCTGTTACGCAGTATACATGATATTAGTGTTTTCATTTACCTCTGAGTAGCTAACACTCTCATGAAATCTTGGCTGAACTTTATCCAGCTCAGCTGGGTCCGTAATGTGTCTGCCTGTCAACCGTGTTACTTAGCAGAGTTAAACGCCCACATAGCTTTGAGTACCCTTCCAGGTCTTCTCTGCTCTTCACAAGCCTTCCGCTCCCCTACTCTCATTTGCTTGTGGTCCACTCCCCTTTATTCTGGCTGTAAAGCCAGCCTCTCACCGGTCTCTTGCCTGCAGTTTGGCTGAATGACCCTAACTTCCTGGGCACAGTTGTTTGTTTGGGGATGGGCATTTAATTCAATATGAAACAGTCAGAACCTTCCCTAGGAACTTGGGTGGATGTCTGGAAAAGACACTCGTGCCTGTGAGGCTATTGTTGCTAAGAAGTGCAGAAGAACGGAGCTGTGGGCACAGGAGAGGAGGTAAAGGCAGTGGCAGACAGCAGAGCTAAGGGGAAGAGAATTCGCTGCCATCACTTGCGTGTCTGGATTGAACTACTCCCTGATGACTGTAAACCCATCTCAGTCATGGAGACTAACATTCCCTCTCTCTCTCTCCCTCCCTCCCTCTCTCTCTCTCTCTCTCTCTGAGTGTGGTTTCCACCCCTTGCAACTGAAAAGCCCTGAGTAATAGACCTTGCGTGTAGCCGCTGGTGGACTGGAGATTCTCCCCATTGCTTTCCTTGACGCCTGTTTTGACAGCGTGTGGCCCTGTACCCCGTCATCTCCCCCGACCTGAACCTCGGCTTTGCTCAGCCTTCCGCTCTGCCCCGCCGGGCTGTCTCACCCACACTGGTGTCTTCCACACTTTCAGGCATAATCCATCCCCTCTCTCACATCTTCAGCTGCTCTCTTTCCACTGCTCCTTTACTTATAACCCAAAATAGACACCTTTCCCCTTCTGCCAAGAGGGCCCAAATGTTATTTCTCATCATTATCTTCACTTCCCTGCCTTCGATTCCAGTCTCTGTTCACAGCTTTCACATTCTGCTTCCCCTGGGTCACCAGTTTCATACTGGCAAATCCAGTGATGTCTTGGATGGAAGCTAGCTGGACCTGTCTTTCATTGGACAACGCCTGTCACTTTACCCTGCTATCTTTTCTGAGGCACCAAGACACTGCTTGTGATGGTTTGTCCTGTCAACTTAGTTGAGTTGAGCGACACCTAGGAGACTAGGAAAGCACATTCATGGTGTGTCTGGGTGGTCCGACCTTGGGGACTACGTCCCCTGACCCTTTCTCTCTGGCTCTCTCCCTGTCTCTCCGCTTTGTGGATGCTGTGGACTGAGCACCTTTCCTCTGTCTTCCCTTCCATTGTGATGTTTGTGTCTCGGAATCGGCCATCGAAAGATCAAAACCTCTCCTCCTTCAAGTCGCAGGTGTCAGGTACTTTGTCCCGGCAACAGGAAGCTGGTTGATACATCTCCCAGGTGCCCTGAAACCTTCTTAGCCTCCCCTTGTCTGTCTCCACTGTAGGTTTCTCTTCTGTCCACTGTCCTTCTCCTAGGGTGACTTAACTACTCTGTGGTGTTAATATTTACCATATGCTGATGACCCTTGTGTCTGCATAGCCAATCTAATGCTCTACCTAGAATTTTAAATTTTGCTGCATATTTATATGTTGTTGTTCCAAGGACACCTCGCATTCAATTTAATTAAATCATCACTCATCTTCCCAAGTCTGCTTTCTGTTTTGTGTTCCCCTCTCACAGAGCACAGCTGCTGGCCATGTAAGCCAAATTCAGAAGTATCATTTTTCTCCTCCGACCTCCACCTCATAACGCTCTGCTGACCTTCCAAATCATCAGGGAGTTGGTTTCTCTTCTGGTAGCAGGTACTGATGGCCTCCTACCCAGCAAACTTTCCCTCTGCCTTTGCTCTTGCTGAGAAAACTTCAGTTTTGTTCCCGTGTCTACAAGATGCTGGAAAGCTGTGTGCCTGAGGGAACCTGGCGTCTGCCCCAAAGGGTGAGTCTTCATTTGTCTGCTCTAAGCCAACCATGACTATGGCCGAGGATAACCCACAAATACTTAATTCGTTATCTGCGCCAAAATATTTGACTCATATGAAGAAAACCATCATTAGATTATCGTCGATGAATAAAAACAAAGTGACAGGAATTATAAAGGGGACTGGGGAGGAGGAAAAAGATCCTGCAGGCTCTCTGGGAATAATAAATCTATTTTATATTTTAGATAAATTGATTAGCCAGCAGCTGCTTCCCATCGTTCTGCTGCCCTTCATCGTGCACTGGCCCTTCACCTTCTTCTCTAGGTTTACTTCCAGACTCATCCAGCACAGGCAGGGGTACTGGACACCCTTCTTTTTTTTATGAAACACACACACAACATTGCAAGCTAGATCATGGATGCTAGATTAGATCATAGATGTTAGATTACATCTGGTTAGAAAGGGAGAACTTTTCTGTTTAGGGGGCAAAAAATATGCAACCTGCTAAAAGCAGAACTAGCTGGGTATTGTGGGATTGACTACGGGTCCTCCATATTCTGAAATTCTAGAGGTTCGATTATCTCATCTGCAACATTTCTGATGTGTGGTTACTAGAGTTGCACTCTGGAATAACTGGAGAGAGACTCGCTTGGGAAACACACACAACTAACCCCATCATTTACTTAGCGTTTGAGCAAGTGTTACACAGTGCTTTGTCATAGCCTTGTTAATTGACGCTTGCCCAGGGCCAGGAATAATTTACTGGACAAGACAGAAAGGCTCTTATTTTATTCATTTCTAATGTATCCTTGGCACGGAGCACAATAACCTGCAGAGCTTTCAATATTTCTCCCTAAATTTTTATTTTGAAAAACTTCAAGGACGTTGGAGTCATCGTATCCTTCACCTGGAATCACCAGCTGTCAACATCTTCCCATGTGCGGCCCTCTCCCTCTCTGCTCTCCCCACGTGAACGCACAGCCCATATTTCTTTCGGCTGAACGACCCGGAAGTGAGTTGCAGGCCCCATCACACCACCTCTTCGTCCCTTCGCACGCAGCTCCTGGGGAAAGGATGCTGTCCCACCACTGCACAGCACGGTCAGACGCAGACCGTCGCACATGCGTATACAGTCTACATTCACATTGCCCTAATTGTTCCATTCTGATCTTTTAGTTACTTTTTTCTCACCTGCATATGATCAAGAAGGATGCACTGAATTGCCTGTTAAGTATCTTTAGTCCCCTTTTGTCTAAAAACTTTCACGCCATTAATACTTTTAAAGAATTCAGATTTGGTATTTTGTTGAATGCTCTAAATGATTTACCTATATGTTGTTTTCAGGTTAAGCATTTTTGGCAAAAATTATACATGGGAGGTGCTGCTTTCTTCTCGGGACATGAGAAATTATTATCAGTGATGTTTGATCACTTTTCTCTCTTTTTGTTATATTTGTCAACTAAATAATTTATGAGGGCCACTCTGTAGAGATGAGAACATTATCTTTTTTATTGAGCACTTCGGGAAGCGAAATGAAGAATAAGGAAATCATACACATTTTTAAAAAAAATCTCCAGTAAAATAGCCATGATTCAATTATTTGCATATTTTCATTAGAACATTTTTAGCATCTTGGGAAGCAGAATTATCTGCACAGTTGTCTCAAACCTGTAGTTCTCTCAAACCTGTAGTTCTCTTTGTTCACACAGACCCATCCAGCTAAGTGTCATCTATTCTCTCCAATGTGCAGACCAGCACAAAAGCTAAGTGGCTTAGTGCCCACACGGTGAGTGGGAAGGGAGAGTCGTCAAACAGGGCTGCAGACCAAGCAAGTCTTGCACTTCCTGGACTCAGTTAGCTCTTCTGCCTACTGGACAGACGGGACTTCGGGATCTTCAAGGCATTATCATTGTAAAGGTTCATTCACATCTGCAGTTAACTGCTATATACTCAGTTATTCTGCCCCTAATTCTACATGCTTATGCCTTGTGCAAGATCAAATTCATATTTTTTTCCTAACTTTAGAGATAGGTTGGAACTGTGGAAATGACCCCACACACCTGTCACCTGGCTGGCGGGAGCCTTTAGGTCCTGTGGCCCATGTGTCTGTAGCTCGGGTCAGGTGTGGCTCTCCAAAGTCCTTCTCAGTGGCTGTAGGCCTCCCTGGTAACTCATGAGGTCACCAAGCCCACCTTTTGGCTTCAGAAATCCCTTCCTTCAGCCTCCCTCAGAGCTGGATGTCTGTGCTGGAACTCAGAGCTCAGAGATGCTCAGGATGGAGACTTCCGGTGTCCTTCTGTCCATGTTTACGCCCGTCGTGGCTCCTGAACAACACCAGGCTGTAACATCCCTCGACCCCTTGCCTTCTGCCTACCTGGTTATCAGTTGCTCACATTGCCTGGGCAGTCACTTCAGCACTGCCCTTAAATTTCCTCCAAACCCACAGCCTTCCCAATTATACCAGGTGTACTTGCACCATTATTTAGTTGCAAATACTGCACGGCAGAGTGACATAAGATAGAATGTAGAACAGCTGTGCAGGGAAACAAAAATCAACTTGTGAGCATTCTGCAAGGTGAGGGTACACTTTTTAGAATAAAAATGTGTATTTCACTATGTTGTAACTTGACCAAAAAACTTGTATACTTGGTCATACAGGATAATAAGGACGGGTCCTCCCAGTGGAACGAGATCCTTGCCAACTTGCCCATGTGAGCCTGAAAATGTGATACATGAATCGTAAAGCCTTAATGTATTGAGGACTGCAGATAAGTACGTGTCCGTGTGGTGTAGTTCGAAGTTTAAGCTGAAGGAGGAACACAGTGATTATAGATCACAGCTGTGACCCTGCAGGTTTGGATGGTTTTTATTGTATTTTTCAAGAATAAACAAGTCCATCGTATTTCCAATGAACATACTTTTAATGTCCATGCAAACCGTGGGGGCCTTTCTTCATATTTTACTCCCAATGGACTTCTTTGCAAGATCTTTGTGTGAGTAGTTATATTGAGAAATCTGAATAAAAAATTAGCATCAGGACTCTGGAAAAAGCATTCATCCTGTTAGCAAAGGAGTTGAGGTCAAATGGGCAACATGGCTTTGCCTGGCTTCATTGTCATCCGGGAGGCCTGGCTGTCTCTGGAGGGGCCAGCTTAGGGCTACCTTGGGGAAAGGAGTTGATGGTTTCTTACTTTCTTCAACTACTTTGCTTTTGAGTATGTATATATATATTTTGAGGCAAAGTCTCGCTATGTAGTTCAGGGAGACCTTGAACTTACTATGTACCCCAGGCTGGCCCTGAACTCATGGTGATCCTCCTGCCTCTGCCTCCAAGTGCTAAGACTACAGATGAGTGCCACCATGCCCAGCTTGAGTATTTTATATGTTATAGGTCTACTTAAAGATTCAAATTTAAAGAAAATGTTAAACTGGAAACATGCCTTAACATTCAAATGGTGATTGAAATTGTTTTCCCTGTAGCAATTACTCAATAATTGTGTAAAATTCTAAATTGTTTGCCTTTCATATATTTTTATTTAAATTGGTTCTTTAAGTAACAGCATCACAGGGGGCTCCCAGAGACGAAGATGCAAATGAGAAAACTGGATAAAACTCTCTTTTGGTTTCCTCACAAGCAAATCTCCCCCTTGACTTTCCAGCATTCTACTCAGCTCTTTCAAAATGAAGGGAAATAAAATATGGCAGAGGTTACGAGAAGAAATAAAACACTGAGCAAGTTTAGCTTTCAGTACACTCACCAGCACTCACCTGAGGGCGCATGATGTATTGTTGGGCATAAATGGCTCGGAGCCTATCAGATTCACACTATTATGTAGCAGGAACATTTATTCCCACAACTCTATTCCTTCTCGAGAATTTCTTCCCCAGCAGTACAAATATGGGTGGATATCAGATGAATAACAGCACATATTTTCCGAAGTTTTCCCACTACGATGAATAATGAGATTCACTTTTCTAGCATGATGATGGCTGCAGCTCTCTACATCTTCTTTGGATCATGGAGTGGCCTATATTTTAGTTCCCATGGGCTTTCTACTTAGCTGATGTTGCAAAGTTAATTCAGTCTATTTAATGCCTAAAATGTCTTACTGATCATTTATCTTCCCTTAATTCTGAAAACAATTTGATCATCAAATAAAGTCAAACAGACTGTTAAAAATAAAACCTTTAAATATGAACATTTTTTTAGGTGCCCATAGGGATAACCCTGTTTCTCCTAGTGATAATCCATACACATTTTGGATTCTAATTACGGGCCTTGTTCCTTTATTAGAGCAAGTTCAGTGGAAATGGAAACACATTTCAAAACATGAGGAATATAGATTTCCATTTTTTAAAAAAATCTTTTAAAAAACTTTCACAGAAAATTAAGACGATCTGAGCTATAGTTTCACTCTGCTGACTTTACTAGGTGTATAGCTTTCCACAATCCAGGTGTTTTCCTTCACTACCTGTGGTGATGTGACTGCAATATTAAAAACCAAAAGTGTGCACTAGACTCTAGCAGTGATGTTCCTCAACCAAGAAAAGTGATTAGAAACGAGACAGTTCCCAATGGAAGATGGATAAACTACTTCTAGAAACCTCCTTTACTACTGAAAAAACTAATTGCTTTGCTCTTGTTTTTGGCTATTTCCTTCAGTTCAAGAAGGAATAAGTGTCCTCAAACTTCATTTTGTTGCTGCTGATAATCTTTCTTCCCTGAAATTGCAGAGAGTCTTGGGTATCCAGAGTCATGTTTGGAGAAAACAGACCGCATGAGCTGAAGAGAGAACAAATGCGAGTGTTTCCGGGTTTATGGTGATTATGTAAGTAGCTCACTTATTTATGAAACAGGTGCCTAGAGAGACCTGCTGCATGGCAGGCACCGTCCCACATCGACGAAGACAGGGTCTCCCTCCTGGGTGAGTGTCCATATTCAGTCTAATATGCCTTAGGTCACAAAAGACAGAAAGGGAAGAGACATGGAAGCCCTGGAGCAGGAGCACTTCCACATATCCTTCTGATGCCCATTCACAACCTCTCAAAATGTGCTTTAAACCAGTTCTACTGAAACTTATATTGTTTTCATTAACTAGGTGAGTAATTTGTTATGGATATGGCAAATAAATCATATGTTTTAAGTTTTATGAAGTATAATATCATGTACTAAAAATGCGTCCTGGGAGATTTGGGATGCAGATTAAAAGCGAGAGCCTCAGGGCTTTCCAAGGGACCCTTCTTTATGGGTTGGTGTGGTGGGAAGGATATAGGCTTTGATCTACATCCAAGTACTTGCATTTATTAATTAAATTAGCAGAAGGAAGTTACTCGATTTTCCTCAGTTTCGTTATTCTTATCTATAAAATAGAGCTAAAAATAATATCTGCCTCATGATGCTGTGACAATCAATTGAACTAATACACGTGAAAGCACTCTGTAAGATTTGAAGTCCAATAAAAAATTACTTTTTAGAGTAAGTGCACAACAATGTTCATTCATCAACATAGAAACAATAGTTGGCTATATTTATAGTACCACTCTTCCAGATAGAAATACTTGTAAGGTACCTAACTGTAAATGACTAATATTAAGTGTTGGTGGTTAATGTAACCATAAGGCTAGTTCACACTTTGAAGTAAGAATTATTAGATTTCATGGAAAGAAAACTCAATTTCTTTTCAGGGGGTTATCAAATGTTTAAAATTTGTATAAAACTGGATTAATAAACCAAGCAAGGCAAACTGAAGGAGAATCCACTGTGACATGACAAGGTAAGTAAAACCTATGTCAGGAAAGGAAAGCAATTGTATGGGTGGAGATGATTTAAATTGTAAATATTAGAAAATTCCAAAACACTGGTTTAAGTCAAAAGGATATTATTGTTCACTCAACAAGAATCTTGTAGGCAGCCCAGGATTTGGCGGGTAGTTCACCAATGGGGTTCTGGGGAGTATCATTGGTGCCATTTTCATTTTCCATCATGGTGGTCAACTCATGGATGAGGGTCACAAGTTTCAGCTTTGGGCATCAAGTGCTAACATCAATAGCACAGACAGGAGAATAGAAGGAGTGTGCTAAGAAAAATCTTCTTAAATATGTGTCTCTTTTGTCAGAAAGCAAGACATTATTCAGAAAAACCCTGGGAGCCCCTCTTATATCTGACTGGCTCAAATTGGTCACATGGCCATGACTAACTGCAAGAAAAGCTGGGAAAATAAATGTCTAGCAAAAGGGGTTATGGTTGTATCATAAGGGACCTAGAGAAATCATGAGTCATTTCCACAGCCAGGCACAGTGGACAGGAAAAAGTTGATGTCATTAATAATTAGGATAAAGGAGAATGGAGAAAAACTATTGGACAACTGCCTAAAGGTGGCCTTCAAGACATTTTGTATATTTGTATAAAAATAACAAGCTATACCCTGTACAAAAGAAATATGGCTCTTGGCCTTTAGAATAGGCACCTAAAAATGACTTCCTGAATTGTATGGACCTAGTAAGGAAAACCCAGTAGGGCGACACATAAAATATGCAGTAGAAAAGTGTTCCTGACCAAAAGCCGGTTCCCTTCATCTCCTTTGAAACTTATCTAATCAATCACATGCTGCTTCCTTCTTCTCTTGTGAAGTACTAATCCCCTGAAATGGTGATTTTTAACGTTTAGCCAACAAATTTTTATTCATCCAAATATAAGATCTGTGATTAATTACAAGATACACAGCTTTTGTGAACCCAGCAGCCTTTCTTCTTAAGCCATTTTGAAACGTGGTTCCTGTCTCTGGCTGGGCTTCGATAATTCAAGTGGGAATAGTTATGAACCAACCCCTCCCTGCTAACTGGGAACATACGAAGGTCATGACAATGTGTAATTGTTTGGATTTTGGATTCCTTAAATATTTCTAAAAGTGATCCATCCTAGGACTTCTTTGGAACTTAAATTTTTTTTAACTTGCTTTTACCTCTCTCCCAACTTTAATAAGTTACTCTAGTATTTTTGTCATGTAAGAGATATCAGATAAAATGAGTTCGTTGGCAAAACAAACAAACAAAATCTGTATCTAAAAGAATAAATTCATACAATTACAATTTCTTCTCTGTCCTCCTCCCATTCAGCTTACTCCATCTTCCAGTCCGGGTTCAGATATTACTAAGTAATGGAATAATACACAGGAAATGAAGAGCCCCTCCTGTGCTCTGTAAATCAGAAAAGTCATTTACAGGGGCTGAGTGGATGGAGAGAGAGGTATATGGCAAGGGAATTGAACCTTAATGGCCTCTCAAGAACTATAACCGTCCATCCCTTTCTCCGCTAGCCTTCTCTCTCTCTCCCTCTCTTTCTCCATCCCACCTCACCCTCCTCAATACCTCTCCACCCCCCTCTCTTTTGCTCCCTCCCCACCCAGCTATTGTCTCACTGAGAAGTGGCCTGTGTGTTCTAAACACTGCATGAAAAACTCTCCCAAGAATTTAGCCACACCTTGGAGTAAATGACTTTTTTAGATACTGGAAAGCTTGGTGACTAATCGTCTTTGATGACTTCGGTGTTTTAAAATCTGTGTAGTATATTGTATATCAGAAGATGTCAATTGCTTGGTTCAACTAACTCTGCGTTACCACTGAACAAAGCCAGAAGCATGGGAAAAAAATCAAGATTAGTAAATAAAAAGGTCATCAAAACATTGCCTTCACTGTATTTTTAATTTACATTTAGATATGGCCACCGTGGTATACTAGAAGCTTTCAAAACTTAGAGCCGAATAATGGGTAATCTAAGCAATACCAAGGGAAGAGTGTAAGGGTTTATTCTATGTCCACTTTGCTACTCTGCCACCACCTTTCCTTCTTTCAGTTTCAGGCTAGCAATGAACTCTCACTTCCCAGAACCCTAAAGATCACGGAAACTGTCTGAACGTCTGCTCTCCGCTGCAGTCACCCAGGGAGCCTCAAAAGAGCCTGCTGACTGAGTCTCCCCCAGAAATTGTGCTGTTATCGGTCTGAAAGGAAGCCCTAGTCATTGTGATTTAAAAAAAAAAAATACCCCAGATGATTATACTATGGAACCAAAACTGGATCATTGATGTGGTCTCAACATTTGCCGGTCTCTACCGACTGGAAGACATAAATGCGTAACTTTTTGGTACTATTTTTCCAGGGACAGAGAGGTAATTGTTTGGCTTTTAACACTTTCTTTTGGAGCTTTGGCTAAATAACAAAATAAGCAAAGACCTATAGTTACCAACTGTGTTAGTCAGGGTTCTTCAGAGAAACAAACTACTAAGAGATCATTATTTATTATATTTATATATTATAATATTTATAACATACACATATAATTTTTTAAAAAGGAATTGGCCTCAGTGCTGTGGAGGTTGAGAAGCTCTAAGACCTGCAGTCAGCAAGCTGGCAACCCAGGAGAGCTCATGGTAAACTTCCAGCCCTAGTTTGAAGGCCAGGGAGGCCGAGAGCTCATGGCAGGTGCCCCACTGTGGAAGCCGGCAGCCTTGAGACCCAGGAGGAGGCAATTTTTCAAGTCCCAAGGCAGGAAAAGTCAAGCTTAGCAGCTCGCAGGCAGGACTCCCTCTTACTCACAGGCAGGTCAGCCCTGTCCTGTTCAGTCTGCTTTATTGAGTCTACTGATTCAAATGTTCATTTCCCCCCACTCCCCCACCTTTTTTTTCTACTGGGGATTGACCCAGAGCTTCCACAAGAGCTATATCCCCAACCTTTTTAAATTCTGAGACATGGTTTTGCTAAATCCCTAAATGGTCCAGGTTGATTTGAACTTGCAATCTTCCTGCCTAAGCCTCCCAGAGTGCAGGGATTACAGGCATAGAGAGGCACTCTCCCAGACATCGAGAATCATGTTTGACCAGATATCTGGGCCTCATGGCCCAGCAGTCAAGTGGAGCTGCAAGGCCAGGCAGTACACCAGCATCATGCTTACATAAGGGTGTGGATGGCAGCTTGGGTGGAGAGCTAAGGGTAAATAAAGCCCAAGACAATCCTTAGGCATTTAAAATCTGCAGCACATAACAGATGATTTTGTAATTTTTTACTTGTTCTTGTTACAATGAAATGACACATCTTCTATTGAAAAATTCTCCTGAGATGCAAGAGAGGACAAAGTTCCTCTTAACCAGTCAATTGGTTATCTACCGTTTGTGCCATCAGAGACTCCTTGGAAGAAACTTGAAGGGAAGAATAGGACAAATAGAAGGACTGAGATTGCAAAGACAAAGACACGTAATTTTCTTCCAAGGGCTTGAATTATCAGTGTTTTAAAGACACATAGTAAATACTCAATAAGTAGTTTTGAATGAATGAGTAAATCAAATTTAAAAAGGTAACCTGATCTATGACTTCTTCAGATCACCTTTTACTTAAGGACGCATAGAAGGGAGCAAGAAGGCTGGAAGAAGATATAAAAGAATCTCACCAGCATCTGAATATCCTCACCTTCCTCGCTTGAGGGTGTATGTTTTGTGCACTCGATTTCTGGATAGTTTGAACTGCAGAATGGGAGGAATGGGTAAGAAGAAAGAAAAACTGATGAACAAGAAGGATGCAGGAGAAGGAGGTTGTTTAGGACAACTCATGGTAGCTAAACCTTGGAAGCAGGCTCTATGGCCACCAACAGATGAACAACAGTACTACTCTGTCACAAAGAAGGATGAACTTGAGTAATTGGTAGGCAAATGGATGCACCTTGAGACTGTAATTTAAGGGAAATAAATCAGACAAACAAGCTTAAACACTGCATGGCTTTCCTTATATGAGAAACCCAAAGTATAAATAAAGAGCAAAATATAAGATAGATAACCAGAAACAGGGAGCTAGATCTTTTGTAAAAGGGGAAGGGACCAAGACAGAAGGAGGGGAGAAGGGAGGGGGAAATAGAGAGAATTAAAGTGGTTATGCCTATGCACCAACTGCCCATGATGAATGCAATCAGTATGCACTGCAAACATGGACTCTTAAAATTAATGGGGGTATCTCAGGGAGTTAAATTGACCTGCCTAATAAAGGGAATGGGAGTGGATAAGGCTTTGGGGATTCTACTGGTGTGGTGCTTTGGGACTTGTTGAGCAGAAAGTTTTAGAACACATGTAGGGTGTGAGAACTGGGGACGAAAGGGAAGCAGACCAGGAAACTTGGTTTTATGCACTAAAAATTAATTTTCTTTTGGGAAATTTGAAGTTTTGGGCATCTGTACTGCACTCCTTTAAGTGTACCTCAGATCCAAGCAGCTCAGGGCGTGCCAGCCCTTCTCCAGGTCCCATGTGTTAAGCCCTGAGTGCTCTATGGCACGTTCCTCCCCATAGATTCTCTGACCTCTTAATGCCACATGGTCCTGGTTTATTTTCCTTCTTAGAGAATGGGTATTCTTAGTGTTGCTCGTAACTTAGAGAGGGGGTTAGAAAGGAGTGGGCTTTCTTGAAAGGTAAATGAACTGTCTTCTCATTGGCGGTTCATCTTGTGCACATATGAGAGCATAAACTGAATAAGAATAATTTATTCTTATCAATGGAGGTGGAAAACAGGAAGCTGGAAGGTGGGGTGAAGTGGTGCCTGGGCCTGTTATGTCACCTTCATCTTGTTCTCATAGTGGTCAGAGCGATAGGTATGATTTCTTTTCTTTTTCTCAAGTTACAGCTGCAAAGTGGTAGAAGTGGGTTTGCCCTGTAAAATCTGTTCTTTCCACCATACCTGCACAATGGGAGCTTTGTTATCTGGTCAAGATTTAGAAATTCTATGTAAGAACTCATTGGTGATTTATTGGATAGTCACACCTTTAGACATAACCTGCTTTCTCTTGTAAGTGCATGAGTGAATGGAAAGACATTTGCAAAACCCTTACAAGGAATATAACTATTTTCTCCCTCCAACAAAACATCAAGGAAGTGACTATGTTTTTTAGCAAACAATGCTGTCATTCTTTCACTCTGGGCTATTTTGGAAGCAATGCTAGTTACTTGGTAGGTTCAAGAAGATAGGAGAAGAGATCCAGAATGGGGAGAGAGAGAGAGAGACTAGCTCTGTTAGCAGGTGTCCTGACCTTGTTACAGTCCATATGCAAGGACCCCTTATCTGCAGGTTCACTTTCCATGGTTTCAGTTACCGACAGTCAATCACTGTGACCCTTAATCCTGATTTGTCAACTTAATTAGATTTTTTAAAAGCCTAGAAAATTACTCAAGGATGCTCCTGGTGGGTCCTGGAGGTGTGGCATTGGGTTCTATATATGGTCCCTTACCTGCTCCTCTCTAGCATTTTCCCCCTGCTCTGCTTCCCCGTCGCCATGAACTAAGCATCTTTGCTTCCCCAGGCCCTTCCGCCATGTTGTCTTTGCCTTAGAGCCTGCTGACTAGGGACTGAAACTGTGAGCCAAACTCAACCTCTCCTCCTTTCAGGTGTGCTTGTTGAATAATGTGTCCAGTGATGGGAAAGCTGACTAATAAAGCCATAGTCTAAAAATACCAAATGGAAAATTTCAGAAATAAGCAATTCATAAGTTTTAAATCTTGTGCTGTTCTGTTTTATGTGGTAAAGTCTTGTGTCATCCTGCTCCATTCCCCAGGAGCATGAGTCATCTGTTTGTCTGGCAGATTCATACCGCACACACATCCTACCTGTTAGCCTCTTCACAGCTGTCCTGGCTATCCGATCTACACTGCAGTAGCACAGTGCCTGTGTTCATGTAACTTTCATCATACTCATCAGTGCCTCCAAAGCACAAGAGCAATGGTGCAACTTGGATATGTCAAAGAGAAGCCCAAAGGGCCTCCTATTACTGAAAACTTGCAGTCTTGCACTGGTCGTACTGGAAGGTGTCTCTTATGAATTAGGGAAAACTACTGCATGTAAAATTCTGAAAACACACTCACAGCTGTTAGATCTAATAAAAGAATTTAGCAAGATTTCAGAATACAAGAGTAATTTTGAAAAAATCAGTTGTATTTCTTTCTCTTTTTTTTTTGGTACCAGGGATCGAGCTCAGGTCCTTCCACTTGCGAGGCAGGTGGCAGAACCACAGTCAGTTGTGGTTCCAGCAATGACCAATCCAAAAGTGAAGTTGAGAAAATAGTTCCACTCTCAATAGCACTGAAATGATGGAACCAAAGTCCCAAAGGAGTGATAATTCTGAGGTTAACGTCAGCCAAGAGAAAGCCTTAGGTGACACCCACAGATTTCAGTCCTTGGTTCTCAGCTAAGTATTTTTGGTTGAAAATTTGAATGAAGATATAAATGACTGTAAAATATCAATATAAGATGAATAAACAAATGGAACACACTGGAAGCAATGAATGAAGTGAATATTTTGGAGTGAAACCCAGTTACTATATGATTATGTAAAGAATTTCACATTCATTTGAAAATAAAGTGAGAGTTTAAGTTCACAATGTACATTTATGTAAGTTAAATTTTATGTCAAAGGTCAACAGTTCTGTTGTTTGGGAATTTATGTAAGAATCTTGAGTGGACAGACATGTTTTTTACCATATGAAGAGTTATGCAAAGGTTGTGAGTCAGGTGCTGAGCTAGGCTTGCGATGGAAAACATCTTGGTCTTTGTCCTTGACTTTGAGGTTGTCATCGTCTAACCACAGTCTAATGAGACATGCTCTCGGTCAGGGTCCCAGTAGGAAACAGAGGCAAGCTCCAAAGTGTAATCTGTAGGGAATTTAATAATGGAAGCATTTACAAATAAATGGGCAGCATTTAGGAAACCACTGGTGATGACACAGCCAGAGAATAACAATGGCAAGAACCTGTTCCTGCCCCAGCAAGAACCAGGGGCTGTGGCTGGGAAGAGAGGAAGCTGGGAAAATAAATACCTTAGCTTTTCTGGCCCTAACCTTTCAATCACCCGATTGCCACTGGCCAAATCCAACTGGAAGCCAGAGGACAAGGGACTCTGGCTGTACAGTCTGTAGACATCGGCCTCCTGGTCCACACAGCAGGACGGAGAAGAGAAAAGAGAGAGAGTTTAGAGAGTCAAGTAGAGACTACTCTCTATTGAGAATATGCAGATCAGAGAGACAATTACAATAAGAGATCGAGGCGAGTGAGTCTTGGAAGTCGAAGGGAGGCTTGACAGGTTGCAGTGTTGATGCTGGAGGGAATGGCGTGTACAGGCAGGGTTACAGAAGGGAGTGGCTGGCTTGAGAAAAGGCAGGACATCTGTGTGTGTCAAGAGCTGAGGGTAAAGGGTGGGGGCTATGGAAAGAGTTATAAAACAAAGATGGGAAAACGCGTTTAGTAGGCGGTCACTTCATGAAGTGACTGCACAGGTTAGGCTCCAAGTTTGGCTGCTGGGGCAAGAGCTCTGAATTAGCTCAATAAAATCATTTTTCACTTAGGTTCCAGACTGAGCAAGAGGGCACCTGCACTCTGAGAACTACAGAAGCACAATTTCCCTTTCTTTGGCTGCTTGGCCCATACCCAGGTGGCTCAGAACCACTCACCACAATGGCCACGCTGTAGTCACCAAAATGGCACTCTTTCCTCACATGGCAACAGCCTGGAAATAGCACATACCCCTTCTGCCACCATCCTACCGGGCAGAATGTAGTCCCAAGGCCACACCTTGTTGCACAGGAGGCAAGGAAGTGTGTCCTCTAATCAAAGCAGCTATGTGCCTGAGAAAACACTGAGCTGCTCTTATCTCGAGGAGGAAGGGGAGGCACTAGAGGAAGCCCGGCTCTCTCTGCTGCCCCTCTGTTGCCTCATTGTTGGCAGGGTCATGAAGCACATGGGGTCAGCAGGGAGAGAACCTGGTGGGAGAGAGGAAGAGCTCTTTGCTCAGAGAGGGGTTCAGTGGAGAAGGCATCTGCTTGAGGGGCTCAGGTGATGAGAGTCCCATGGGCTACAGATCTCCTGATTTGTATACGTGGCGCATCCAGAAGGCTGTCATCACTTGATCCTGCGCCACAGATGCTGTTGCTTCTGTCATCCCGAGGGTGCAGCAACTAGAAGACAATGCGGCCATTCATCAGGGTCATATTCTGATCCCTGCATGGGTTTTTACTGCCTAGGTTTGCAAAACTTGGTGCTGCGTGGGAGGTTGGCACCTTTCTGTCCAACCCCAGTCACGCTGGAGAGCTGGGACTCTCGGTGTGCTGATTGCTAACGTGATTCTTGGCAGTCCCTGTGTGTTCAGCTACATTCTACACCCTTTCTTCCACAGAGCCCACTACCCTGATGAAATCACTCTACTCAACATCAAGTCATTTTAGTCCTTTTCTGGAATCATGTATGAAACTATTTCCAATGCATTCAACTCTAACTTTCTTTGCTCATTGCTTTTCCCCGAAGAAAAAATAATACATTTAGGAGTTTAAAAATTGCAAGCTGCTGCTTTGTACAGAGCACATTTAACTTTTCTGTCCAGGTTTTCAGCCTGGCCTCAGGGGAACCTTTTCCTCTGTTTTACACATTGAATTCAGGTCCCCAAAGTTAATCACTTGAGTCCCCATTTATTCACGTATATCCTCAAATCATGTGGCACCATCTGATTAGGCACATGAGGAGATAACTGTGCATATGAAAAAGGATGGTTATGAAGCAGTTATGCACAGCAGTAGTGTTTCAAAGAAAGAGGAGAGGTACTTAGGAAAGTACCCAGAACTTGGGCCTCAGTGGTCTATGTGTGACCCATGCCTCTACTCCTCCATCATTCATTCATTCTACCATTCCAGTCTTGCCAAGTGCCGACTCTATAGAAGGGTCTGAATATTGCTGTAAGATGTTTCATATGTCAAAATTGGAGCATACTCAGTTTTGAGTCATGGGTGGGAATAAAGGAAGAAACCAAAGCATTTGACCCAC